ATAGCTCTGCTTTCTGTTATAAGTAAAGTGATGGAGAGGTGCATAAATCGCGAGCTTCTGGACTACCTCGAACGTCACAGCTTGATTAGCGACAGGCAGTACGGTTTCCGGCACCAACGATCCACAGGGGACCTCCTAGCTTACGTCACCCAACTGTGGAGTAAACTCATCCAGTCTCATGGTGAGGCTCATGTCGTTGCTCTTGACATCACGAAAGCGTTCGATCAGCTGTGGCACGCTGCCCTCTTGAGCAAACTTCCATCCTACGGCCTCCCAGAAAAGCTTTGCAGATGGGTGGCTGACTTTATCTCTGGCCGCAAGATATCCGTCGTAATTGACGGATTCTCCTCTTCATCCCACAACGTCAACGCGGGTGTTCCCCAGGGATCGGTCTTGGCTCCAACACTGTTTCTCTTACATATCAACGACCTCCTTTCCTGCACGATCAACCCAATCCACAGCTTCGCTGATGACAGCACCCTACATGCAGGAATTCAGAGTGACAAGCCGATCTCTGCCGCTGAGCTGGAAAAAAGAAGACTAGCGACGACTTCTTCTCTGACAAGAGACCTGGAGGCTATCACTGCTTGGGGACGCAACAATCTTGTACAGTTCAATGCTTCCAAAACACAGTACTGTACTTTGACGAACAAAAAGCGTCCTAGCGCTCATACAGTTTCGATGGACGGTCGAGTTCTATCAAAGAGCCATTCATTTCGGCTGGTCGGAGTCCAGATCACCGAGGTCCTGATCTCGCACGAACACATCTCTTCAATAGCTGCAGCTGCTGGGAAAAAGCTAGGCTATTTGTTTAGGGCTAGGAAGTACTTTTCTCCGCATGACCTTCTCACTCTATACAAGGCCCAGATAAGGCCTAGCCTCGAGTATTGCTCACACATTTGGGGTGCTGCCGCCCCGACTACATTGTCCATGCTCGATGCTGTCCAGAGGAGGGCGGTCCGACTGATCGATGACTCTTCTCTAACAGACAGTCTCGGGACTCTTTCGCACCGGCGGGCCGTCGGCGATCTAGCTCTTTTCTATCGCTACACCAACGGGCTTTGCTCCTCAGAGCTCTCTTCCATGATGCCGCCGCGCGATGTGCCTGCCAGACAGACCCGCCTGACTTCGGCGTCGCATCCTAACCGTGTCAAACTTCGTACATCCAGAACTGGCCGATACGACCGCTCCTTTGTCCCGAGGGTGTCTAGATTGTGGAACAAACTACGGAAGGAAGCTTTTCCCAGTTCTACTAACCTTAGGCAGTTCAAAAATCGTATTAACAAAATTTCTTTGGGATCATCATAGCAGCCGCGGTGTTCCGGCATTTAGGCTTCTGCCTGCGCGGCTGTTTCGATATAAAAAAAAAAAAAAAAAAAAGAATTGCGCTGTCAAAACAAATCTAGAGACACCTCGTACGTCAAATCAAGCGGTAGCCAGTGAAAAACGGAATTTCAAGGTTGAATTCTTTTATTAAAACACAAAGTGTTTTTAATTTCATTCGTAACACATATTCATTACAAAAAGAAATTGCACAGTACACGCATATAAATATACTAAGTGACATATAAATCCGAACACCCAGTTTAAATGGTTTTATTTTAATAAAATTTTGTATAAGTACTTAATGAAGCATAATAAGTAAATGATAAAAATTTCAAAATGATTGCACTGCTTTAAAGCCCTTTGACCTTTAATAATGTGTGGATGCACCCTGATGTGCTACGCATTCTCCAACGCGCCTATGCATGCTTCTGATCAGGTGGTCAATGTCCTCCTGTGGTATCTCATTCCAGGCAACCACCAACTTCTCTCGAAGTGCTTCTAGAGTCTGAGGAGGACGTTGCAAATTGAGCAATCTCCTACCCATCATATCGCACACGTGCTCAATTGGGGATAAGTCGGGAGATCTTGGTGGCCATGGTAACAATGTGACATCATTATGTTAAAAGAAGTCTATTGTGACTCTTGCAACATGTGGTCGGGCATTATCTTGTTGGAAAGTTGGATCTGCCAGGGTGTCAAGATAGGGTAAAAGATGGGGTTCTAGAACTTCGTGGATATAACGCTGCGCGTTCATGTTACCTCTGATGATGATTAAAGGTGACCTGGAACCATCAGCTATAGCACCCCAAACCATAACTCCAACAGTGTGATGAACATGTCTTTCAACAAAAAACTGTGGATTCCTCCTTTCACCACGTCGCCTTCTAACCCTGGCTCGACCATCGTGCATGCCTAAACAAAATCGAGACTCGTCACTAAAGACAATACTGTTCCATTCCTGATCCCAGAGTGACCGTTGTCTGTACCACTCAAGGCGATTACATCGGTGTTCTCGAGTTAAAGGGAGGACCCAGTGTGGCCGGTATGAAAACAAGCCAAAACTTTTCATTCGTCGGTAAACACTTCGCATGCCAATAGGTCTTCCGTGTTCTGCAAACCATTCATTTACAATGGACCTGGAAGTGGAGAAACGGTCCCTTAAGGACAATATTCTTCACGGTCTGTTGTTCTACGGCGGCGTCCAGTGCCCCTTGCTCTTTGCGTACGGCCTTCTCGAAGCCATGCCTGACAACACCTAACCACAGTGTCTGCATTTCTTTGCACTCTAACTGCAATTGCCCGAAAAGAAAGTCCAGCTTTCCGAAGTCCCACTATACGGCCCCTATCAAACTCACTAAGTTGACGAAATCGTACAGGTCTCCGTAATCTAGGAATGTCCAACTGATAAGGCTGAAAATTTTTTCACTTGTTATTTACAGTAAGATAAATACATTCACCAACTTTTATTAAAATAAAACCATTTAAACTGGGTGTTCGGATTTATATGTCACTTAGTATATTTTTCAATAACATTCATGAAAATGAGATTATTGCTGCATCTAAAAAACTCTAGAATAGAGTAACGGCTGGCCCAGACAACATCCCCTCGTTCATAGTCAAAGATTGTACTCATGTCTTTGTTAAGCCGTTATTAAAAATATACAGTCTGACTATAGAAAAAAACACATTCCCTGATATTTGGAAACTTTCTAGAGCGACACCTATTTTCAAATCAGGGGATAATACTGATATTAAAAACTATAGAGCGGTGGTAATATTGTCGAATTTCTCCAAATTGCTGGAGATAATGTTGCATAATAGAATTTACTCCACAGTTCATAGATCTCTCTACCCTTTTTAGCATGGTTTTCTTACTAAGAGATCCACAGTAACTAATTTAAGAATCTTCACTCAGTTCGCTATTGAATGTGTCGATCGGCAAGGTCAACTAGATGTAGTATATACAGATTTTGCTAAAGCGTTCGATAGGGTGGACCATGGCATACTTTTGAATAAACTTTTTTATTATGGATTCCATTTATCAGCTTTAGCTCATTCAAAGTTATCTTCATGAAAGGAAGCAATATGTTACCTTTAATGGGTTCAAGTAGTACCAGTATATAACTAAATCGGGAGGGCCTCAGGGTTCAAATCTTGGTCCTTTATTGTTTACCTTATTTATTGATGATGTTGTGCATTATTTAAGTTGTAAAAAGCTGCTCTTTGCAGATGGTTTGAAATTAGTCAGGATTATTGAGTCTGAGACTGATTGTATTACACTTCAGCGTGATATTGATTGTCTAGTGGCTTGGTGTGACGAGAATAATTTATTTCTTAATGCGTCTAAGTGTAGTGTAGTCAGCTTTTCCAGGAAAACTTTTGCTTGTAAATTTAATTATAAAATTGGGGATGCTTACATAAATCGTTATAACTCAATTAAGGATTTGGTTGTAGTTTTTGACCATAAACTTAATTTTTCACTCCACATAGCTCAAAAGGTGAGTGAAGCTTCGCGGGCGTACGGTTTTGTTGTGAGAAACTGTAGAAGCTTCCGCCCAGAGTCACTGTTGGTTTTGTATTCTGCATATATTAGATCGAAATTGGAATATGCATCGTTAATTTGGAACCCAATTTACAACTGCTACATTGATTCTCTTGAGCATGTTCAGAGAAAGTTTATAAAATTTTTATCTTTTAGTTGACGGTATATATCCTGAACGTGGTATATCTGAAAGTTTATTATTGTCTAGGTTTCAAGTGCAGTCGTTAGAACTGAGAAGGAAGTGTGCATGAATTATGTTCTTGCATAAACTACTGCCCAATCAAATTGATGCCAATGAGATTGTGGCTCAAATAAACTTTAATGTTCCTTCTATTCAAACTCGTACAGCTAAAACATTTTATTGCGAAAGGGCTCGCACAAATTTGTTTTTGAAGGCACCCATATATGTGATGTGTGAAACTTTCAATCCAATATCAATTTATTGTGATATACATGCTGACAGTTTGAACAGCATTCTGGAAGTAGCTAGAAATGACTTGGATAATTTATGATATGAGTGAAATGTTTTTTTTTTGCTTCTTTTCTTGTTTGTTTTTTTCTTTAGATGTTTTCTGTTCTTGTTATTTTGATTTATCTTAGGATTGTCCTGTAAATGGTTTCCTCAACTGCTGGGCAATAAACGCTATTTATTTATTATTTATTTATTTATAAGAGAAAATGAAACAATCCAGTTTCTGCAACGAAAATTCCCTGGACGTCTGATGTCAAAAAGAGGTGACATTGACTGGCCACCCAGGTCTCCAGATTCGACCCCACCGGACTTCTTCTTTTGGGGTTATTATATACACCTACCACCAGAGATGCTCGAAAAAGTAATGGAAAACGCAGCCAATAAAGGTGGCTCCTTGATAGATGTTGTGTTCAAAAACTAGTCCCAATAAATTGTAAAGGACCCTATTTAATAAAAATACTCGACATATAGAAATCAATTTTTCGTTTTCAAAGTTATTTCATGTTTACATACCGACATAAAAGATAGCGCACCCTGTACATGTCACACAACATTCCAAAATCATATCTCTTTTCCGAATTTTTTTACGATTATAATACTTCGCCAATAGGCAAGGGAAGTAGAAAGCAGAATGATCTGATAGATGAAAATCGTACAAACCTGGGTTTCGGTGACGTTAAGAAGCTTCGCCATCTCGGAGCGTTCGCTGCTACTAAGATACTTTTTCACTTCGAACTGTTTCTCCAGTTCGAAGATCTGTCTCCCGGTGAAGGTGGTCCGAGCCTTTTTCTTTTTGTTCTTGCAGTCCGCATCCTCGGCGGTCTGATCCAAGTCTGGCTCCTTCTGATTGACGACAACCATAGCTGGAGGCTGTTGCTCAGCTGCGCATTTGCCGTCTGCTGATTGTTGCTGGTTCGGCAGCTGTTTTGGCTTTTTCCGTTTTCGCGTCGGTTCTGAAATTGGTAAATATGCATCTCAAATCAATGTTTCACTCCTCGCCATAGTGGTTCATGATAATGTCGGTCGACGTTTTTTATACTCAAACAACAGCGAGACCAAAAACCAAATGATGCAGTATTGCAATAATAATAATAATAATAATAATAATAATAATAATAATAATAATAATAATAATGATAATAATAATAATAATAATAATAATAATAATAATAAAGAAGCATAACTGATGTGGCTATACCATCGGATGCATATGTAAAAGAAAAAGAATCTGAAAAGATGTTAAAATACCAGGACCTGAATATCGAAATACAAAGAATCTGGGGTTTGAAAGCACAAATAGTACCAATCATTATAGGCGCATCTGAAACCCTGCAAAAGAATTTCCAGCACCAGGTCATCGAGATTCCCGGTAACGAAAAACAACATAAACAGGCTACAAAAAGTATCACTTCACTCAAATGGTGAATGCAGCGTTTAAGATGCTAGGCTTTTTTGGAAGGAATTGGTCAGGGTTTTCAAACATATCAACTCTAAAGCTTTTATATTTTACATTTATTAGAAGTAAACTGGAATACGTTTCATTAATTAAGTCTCCAATCTACAACAATTCAAGGGTTAGTATTGAATATGTGGAGCGTAAGACTTTAAAGTATTTGTATTACAAAGAGGTTTCGACCATTCTATTTTATTAAACATTTTTGATGTATCATTGCATCTTAGACGCGCCATATCAGCGCTACATCTTTTGTACAAAATCATACACAATCAAGTTGATTGTTCATTCATATTAAGTAAGCTCAATTTTCGTGTGCCTAGGTTGGGAAATCGTGTGCAAATCACTTTCTATCCGGTTATTGGTAATACTAATTTAATGTCTAGATCTCCGGTAAATATGATTTGAACATGTTTCAGTTCTGTTTGCAGTTCCTGTGACTTATTTTTTGATAGTGAGAACTTTGTTATGAAGTCAGTGAGAGTTTGTTTTTCTCTTTTTTTAAGTTTTTTTGTGTTTGGCGTTATCGCTGTTGCTAATTATGTAACTTTTTCTTGTATTTTCCCTGTAATTGTGTGTTACCTGTTGGGAATAAATAAATAAGCATACTGGGAGCCAAATTATTGGACAATATTTTTTCGAGTAATCTCTAAATAGCAATGTCTTTCTGGACCCTTTGCACAATCAATAAACGTTGTCGTTGGAAGACGTGCCACTGGATACGCGGCAAAACTTGTTTTTACAGTTGGATGGTTGCCCAGCACATTTTGCTATTATTGTGCGAGAGCATATTAATGCAGTATTTCAACAGCGGTGGATTAGAAAAAAAGTCTGTTTCCATGGCCCTCGCGATCACCAGAGTTAAATTGATGTTTATTTATGGGGATTCTTGAAGGGCATCGTGATTCAGACTCAACCTACAACCGAAGAAGATATGAAAATGCGGATTCGTAATTCAATACGTAACATACCGAGAGCCGAAATTGAAGCTGCAGTTTTGTCTACCCATGAGAGGCATCAGGAATGCATAGATCGTGATGGTCAGCATTTCGAGAGTTTACGGGGTCATGAAAAACCTTATAATAAAAAGAAATTTCATAGAAAAAATAAAAATTCAAGGGATTTCCGTATAAAATTGTACAAAACTCAAATTCAATGTTGGTGCAACAAGCCATTAGAACGTAATATAATAATCACAATTGAACAGTCTGATGTTATATGCCATCAATAATAATTTTTAAACATTTTCCCATAGAAAATTTAACCTATAGTCTTTATAAATTTGCCCCAAGGCGCTAGACAACGTACGAACGTTGTTACGGTTTCGGTTGCAGTTTCGGCGGATTTTCTGCCGAAATCGAAACTCTGATTTTGGACCGAAACTGGCCGAAACCGAAAGTTCGGTCGGATACAACTTCGTGCCGCGATGGTAAGCGCGTCGAGCTAGAAACCCGGGGCTCGCGGGTTCGAGTTATCGCCTCGGATCCTAAATTCCGAGCCATGAATGTTGTGTTATGTGTTGCCTATATCACGCACGTGGGTGCAACATTAACGATAGGTACATCTTATCGCTAGAGCTGGTTTATTATACTAAGTGACATATAGAATGCAAAACCCAGAATTATTTATTGAATTTTGATAAAAACTTGTAAATATACTAAGTGGCATATAAATCCGAACACCCAGGTTAAATGGTTTTATTTTAATAAAATTTTGTTTAACTACTTAATTAAGCGTAATAAGTAAATGATAAAAATTTCAAAATGATTGCACTGCTTTAAAGCCCTTTGACCTTTAATAATGTGTGGATGCACCCTGATGTGCTACGCATTCTCCAACGCGCCTAGGCATGCTTCTGATCAGGTGGTCAATGTCCTCCTCTGGTATCTCATTCCAGACAACCACCAACTCCTCTCGAAGTGCTTCCAGAGTCTGAGGAGGACGTTGCAAATTGAGCAATCTCCTACCCATCACATCCCACACGTGCTCAATTGGGGATAAGTCGGGAGATCTTGGTGGCCATGGTAACAATGTGACATCATTATGTTGAAAGAAGTCTATTGTGACTCTTGCAACATGTGGTCGGGCATTATCTTGTTGGAAAGTTGGATCTGCCAGGGTGTCAAGATAGGGTAAAAGATGGGGTTCTAAAACTTCGTGGATATAACGCTGCGCGTTCATGTTACCTCTGATGAAGATTAAAGGTGACCTGGAACCATAAGCTATAGCACCCCAAACCATAACTCCAACAGTGTGATGAACATGTCTTTCAACAAGAAACTGTGGATTCCTCCTTTCACCACGTCGCCTTCTAACCCTGGCACGACCATCGTGCATGCCTAAATAAAATCGAGACTCGTCACTAAAGACAATACTGTTCCATTCCTGATCCCAGAGTGACCGTTGTCTGCACCACTCAAGGCGATTACGTCGGTGTTCTCGAGTTAAAGGGAGGACCCAGTGTGGCCGGTATGAAAACAAGCAAAAAATTCTCATTCGTCGGTAAACACTTCGCATGCCAATAGGTCTTCCGTGTTCTGCAAACCATTCATTTGCAATGGACCTGGTAGTGGAGAAACGGTCCCTTAAGGCCAATAATCTTAGGCGGCGATCTTCACGGTCTGTTGTTCTACGGCGACGTCCAGTGCCCCTTGCCCTTTGCGTACGGCCTTCTCGAAGCCATGCCTGACAACACCTAACCACAGTGTCTACACTTCTTTGCACTCTAACTGCAATTGCCCGAAAAGAAAGTCCAGCTTCCCGAAGTCCCACTATACGGTCCTTATCAAACTCACTAAGTTGACGAAATCGTACAGGTCTCCGTACTCTAGGCATCGTAACCGATCGTAAAGGATGTCAAGAACCAAAGTCCGCCAACGTTGATTCTTTACTGCGGCTGAAATATTCATTTTTAGAGCGTTAGTGAATTAAAAAAAAGCAGTATAAAAATCGGAATGTCCAACTGATAAAGCTGAAAATTTTTTCACTTGTTATTTACAGTAAGATAAATACATTCACCAACTTTTATTAAAATAAAACCATTTAAACTGGGTGTTCGGATTTATATGTCACTTAGTATATATTTGCTATCATGGAAGTATACGCTGATTTTGTTTGGGCACACATGATGGCCTTGCAAGAGTAAGGAGGAGACGTGGTGAGAGACGGATCGTCCAATATTCCATCGAACGGCATATTCATCGTACTGTGGGTATTAGGGTATGAGGTGCTTACGGCAGCAGGACACGATTAGTGTTCATTCAAGGTAGCATGACTGCCCGCGCTATATCCTCGAAGTTTTACAACCACATCTGCTTCCCTGTGTGGAAACATTGCAAGATACACTTCTTCAGCAGGACAATGTACGACCTCATGTCGCACGTGGTCTGCTTCAGTTGCCTCCTCGATCTCCAGACCTTTCCCCCATCGAACATGTATGGGACATGATGGGAAGAAGGTTGCAACATTCACCGCACATTGGAGGCTATATGAAACCAAATTCAGATGACCTGGGATACAATACACCAAGAAGACATCAATCACCTAACGGCTCGACGACTTAACAAATGTGTAGCGAACAGAGGAGCTTCAACACATTATTAACATTAAGGTGGGATATCTCAGCTACTTTGCAAAATTTCGAGTTAAAATTTTAATTACTTCTTATTTATCAGTAGACCTAAAACTTGTTAAAGTATGTACAACATTACAGCACTCCTCGTCGGTGTTGCATTTTCTATGTCATTTGGTATATATCAGTTACCAGTAGTAGTACAGTATTGGTACTACGGGGTCGGCAAAGAGGGTCAAAGGCGGCCTAGGTGCCAGGCTTGGCCTCCCCACCACTACTACTATTACCATTACTATACTACAACTATTTAATACTGTAATGACTCATACGCGTGATCAACACGTGATCAGAGCTCGATCCCGGCTTCCTTCCAGTACAGCCGAATAGCGTACGACATATGTCGTTTTTGTGGCTTTGCGGTGGTCAACAGCACAGACAGAGATGGAAATAATGGCTGATTGGTCTCCGCCGGTAGAACCAATGAAATCAAAGACGCGCCTCGACCGGCAGACTCATAGGCGTCGGCAACGCATTGGAACGTGTTTCGTTGAGCGATCGCATATTGTATGTTTTTATAAGAATTGTTGTGTGATTGTTATTGTTGTGGTTTCTGTGGATACTATTTTGGTTATACTTAACCATGGAGAGTACAAATGGCACGAGTGGAAGTACTGAAAGCCAGGGAACAAGTAGACGGCTTCGTAAAGCACTGAAGAGGGACGCGAAAGAAATCGTGATCAACGTGTTCAATTATCTGAACAGAACTATGTCGCAGGGAGATGCACTCGCGCGTTGTGAAAGTATGACAGGCGTTCCAGAGTGGACCATTCGCAGGGTGGTGCATGAAAAGAAGAAAACTGGAGCTACTACTGATCCAAAGTTTAATTTGAAGGGACGAAAGGCCGTTAAATTGGATGACGATAGCAAAA